CACACACACACACACACACACACACAGTCTGACTGTTAATGTATCTACTGACCAGTCCACAAAAGTAGACCAGAGTGGACCTCCAAGGAACTATTTGGACAGGGGTATGCTCAGCACCTGTCCTCTCTTTTTACTCTAAAAGCTGCCGTTTCATGAAGGAACTGAGCTGATGGTATTTTCTTTTTGCAAAAAATAAATAAATAAATGAAATAAAAAAACAGTAAAATGTTTTAATGTTATTGTCATTTGCTTGGAAATGAAATATTTGCGTGAACAAAATCAACACTTTGGTCTTTCATCTATTGCTATTTGTATTTAAATAGTAAGTTGGTTCAGGAATTAATATTAGAAAGAAACTGTTTCATGTTTATTTTCTTCTTTGGAGGTGGTGGGTTTAAAAACTGGATTACAATAAGGATGTTCTCTTGAATGTATATTGTTCTAAGACATAAAACGCTGCTATCACTAAAGTACAAAATTACTTTAGGTAAAGGTAACAAGACTCTCCTGAACCATCACTGATTTTATTATACTCTAAAGAGAGAAACATTACAGATCATTTTAAAACATTTCTTTTGACTCATTGTCTTCCAGGAAGTCACATCCTCCTTATTTATGTAAAAATGATTGTAAAATGGAGCAAAGATTTTTTGGAAAAAGATTGACAGCATCAGTTGTGTCCTTCAGACCAATGTTTTTATGTTTTATTCTTTTTTCCTCTTTAGCAGCCCTGAATACTGTGAAGCAGCAAGATCAGTTTATTCTTGCATGGAGGCCTGAATAAATGACTTTCTGCCTCTTTCTCACAAACGTTGTCAGCTGTTCACACTGGCCGTTTTGATAAATAACTAAGAAACTAATATTTACAAAAGAAAATTACAGTGCAACACGTTTAATTCATTTATTCAAAGTGTAAAAATGAAACTGATAAGACAATCTGATAGACTTTTGTCATGATTCAAATCTGCAGTGTAATTATCAAAAGCCCTCTGAAGATTTCATGCATCACTGCACCTTATGTGTTTTTTAAACTACACATTTTAAACTACACAATGTGGATATGTATATCCATATTGATTTAGAACTGGTGTTATTTCCAGCTTCAAATAATATTAAAAAAACTGATATTTATCTTGCTCAAATGATTTTCTTCAATAACTGCAATCTCATTCCTTACTTTACCTACAGGAAGCTGTACGATTGGTCTCACTAAAAGGCAGCAAATTAGCTTCAGACATTCAGTTGCCTGAAAGGTTGTGACAATGATGATGATTTGAAAGTATTTCTGACAATGCTGAGATTGTTGCTGAAAAGTTCTTAAATCATCAGTCGAACATTGGGGAAAACAGTGGCTTTGCTGTTGCTAGACAAAAAGCATTGATAAGGCAATAGTTGTTCATTATTTAAATC